GCTGTACATGTCACCAACAGAATGGTAGTAGCCGAGGCCAAACGTTTGGCTTGTGATAAAGGACAAGAGTTGTTTGGAGACAGGCCACAACCTGAAGATGTTGAAGGCACAAGGAGGTACAAAAATATGGTGAGCAATTGGCACTCGCGATTCTTGAAGCGCAAAACGGCTTTTAAATCAAAAGTGACATGAAAGAGACACAAGTTTCCAGCTGGATGCATCCATATGGCGTGAAGTTGCGCTCAAGTGTGTACAACACGACTTGTGTAAAGCGCACACTTTAAATATTGAGGAACAACATTTTGAGGGATCTGAAGGGCAAAGGAGGATAGCCAAGTATGAGCCTGCAAACGTCTGAAACATGGACCAAACACCAAATTGGTGTCATCAATATGGATGGAACCAGCTGGGGAATACACTATGGAAAAAGACTGCATAACTGTCACTTTGTGTGTTAGTGGTAGTGGAGAAAATTGATGCCATTTGTCATTCTTAAGGGAAGAGCCACATCTGACAGTGCAAGGGTGCACAGCCAGGCAATCAAAAGGGCATTTGTCAATGGTGTTGACAACAAGGGTGTTTGCTATCCTCATGGGTTGATGTACACTGCCAACATCAAAGCTTATCATACACAGCACATCATGACCAATGTTAGGATCAAACGTGTTTAGAGGCATCATGCAAGGGCAAAAATTATCAACAAGCCCAAGATCTCGCTGTTGTTGGGTGACTACAAAGTTCATAAAACTGATGTGATAGTGGCAGCTCTTCGATGTGAGAACACTTGCATCTTCACCATCCGGGGGGCCTCACACCAATCCTTCACCTTTGTGATGGAGACATCAACAAGGTATTCAAATATTGCATTTCTCAACAGTTTGATGATTGGACAGCACCCAGGGGAGCGAAAATTGATGAGAAGGGATTTCTTGTGCCCTAAGTCGTGGCCAGCTTGCCATTTCCATCAAAAATGCTTGGGATCAGGTCACTCTAGAGATCATCAAGAATTGTTGGAATAAATCAGGAGCCCTGCTGCCACTTGATGGTCTTGGTGATCAACAGTGGGTGCAATGCCAACTCCAAATACAGTTTGAGGAGTTACCAGAGGAACATATGGGGGCCAACTTGGACAACCTAGAAAATCCTTATGACCTTGATTTGAGTGATGGTAGTATAGAGTTGGACACTGAGAATCTTGGGGACATGATGTTTGACTGAAAGAGGCATGTCATGGCATTGTCTAGTAGGAGTGGACTTGGTAACATTGGGGAAATAGCACATGCAGTGAGATGTAAAAATGTGTGAAAATGCTTTCATATTGTGGGGGCGTTATCTAAAGGCTCCCATGGTGTTCAACACCCCCTGCACTATCCTCCATGTTCTGCAGTGCACGTTTGGACACGTGCTATTTTGGACCTTTTTATCCTAATGGAGTGGTTGGCAAGGCTATGGGGTGTGCCTGCGTGGAGCCTGTTGGCTTCTGACGGAGGCAGGGACATTGGCAGATGCAAGGGTATGACATGTGCTATACAATGTGATATATTTCTTTTGTTTTCTGTTCTTTTGAGCTACTAGTAGCCATTCCATCATTTTGTAGTAATATCAGTGTCCATTCCGTTGGCTGGGAGAACTAGGGAACCACTGTTTTAAAATTCCATATGGCTTTCAATGATACTTGGAGGACAATGCGCACACTCATGATGCATGTCCTAATATGGCTTTCAAATGATTAGGAAGTATGTGCTACCAAGGTGGCATGAAAATCAGAAGTAGATAATCAATTTCAGGCAATTAATGTGTTAGGTGATGTGAATCTATATGATTTTTTACTTTTTGACATCAACAACCCTAGTTGCACAAGATCCAAGAGCACATAAGGATAGTGAGAGTTTCGAGGGGAACGGGATGCAGATTCACCAACTTCAAATGCGCCACGAAACAAAAGTTCGGTTCAAACGCCCCCACCATCATCAGCAATGTTCAGGACCGGTTTTTGGCATTCTCTAACTTTTTATAACAACTGCACATCATGTGTTCTTCGTCAGACCTGCATGGCCTGAGTGTCTATCATGCCAATATGCGCTGTCTTTAAATATTCCACAGTGTTAAATCACTGACAATATTGTCTTTAAATATGTCTTTAAATATTCCACAGTGTTAAATCACTGATGTAAGTACCATGCCCAGACACTATGTCAAAAAGGAACCACATACTTCAACACCCAAAGCATCTTGGCGCCATTTCCACCAAAAGTAGAAACATCTATTGGGCTAATTGGGCGTAGCACTTGTCGCTTCATAATTCTGTTTAGCACAAGTGTACACTCTTACGTGCATTATCACCAGTTTTCATCTAACTTGCCATTCTGCTGTTTTCCAGCAGTTTTCCATTTGCTATACGTCACATATGAAGATGGCATTGCGGAGCAGTGCAGGACATTTCCCAGGTCAAAACAAGCGGTCGTCCCCTTTGCGCATCAAATCAAAGCAAGGAAATGCATGATTAAGAAAGTAATGGAAACAATTCAACGGAAATACAGTCAAAGACGATAAAACTTTGAAATTCTATATATTTTGTACAACTGTACTGGGAAAGAGAGTAACACAGTCACACTATCTTACCAGAATGATTGGAATCAGAGTGAGTAGCACAACCACTGCGCTCGCAAGCCCCTTCCATCGCGACTGCAAAACAACAAACTACACCATACAATAATCAGGATCCCAAATCCGGTTTACTTTAACTTGATCCATGAACTTCAAGTGCATTGAATACTTTTGTGTTTCCTGTCATTGTGGGGAAGAGAGATCGCACTCTAGTAAACATCTGGCAATTACTTCTTTAATGAGATGAAACTCAAACCAACAAATGCCCATTATAAAATAGCGCATTTCTCAACGTTGCCATTTTGGTGGCTTTCTGTATGAGAAGCCACAAAAAGTGCATATAAAGCATTTGCACGTAACGTCTACTGACCAGGCGCACAATAAACTGATGCGTTGGAGATTATGTCAATAATTAGGATGTGGAGCAAATTGCTTCCCCTGTACTGCAGCAAATTTCCCCTATTTAGAGTCGCTGTATCCAGGTTTGCTAAGTATGGCTGGTTCTGAATAAAAATACGGAATAATATGCTTATTTAAAAAACTTTTTAAATGCTCGTATTTTTAGACGTAGTACTTTGGAGCAATTGCCGTAAATGATCATAATTTGCCAATTAATGGATGAGACCTGCCATTTGCATCCCACACGGGTGCGCTGCAGATGCAGCAAGGAGAGAGCTGTGAAGTTGAAGGTGCCCCACTGCTGATATGGCTGCTAATATAGATGCAGTTGGTGAGGGTGATATGGATGGGGTGGAAAATGGTGCTGATTGATTGAATTTTTCATGTCATTGAGGCCGTAATTCTGAAAATATTTGACACATTTTAAACATATTCTTAGGACCAAAATAAGAAAACGTGATAATACACATACTTCACCATAAACGGGCAACAGCATGGGCATACCTGAGTTGTTTCTATGGTAGCTTTAATCCAGTCATGTATGTCACTGATGATCACACAGCCCAAGCCCCTACGCCCAGTTGCCGTCATGTTGTAAGTCGATCCAATGCCCACAATCATGTCCTGTTCTGCATTGTGCATCTCCATTCCACCTTCTGGGATAAAGAAGACAGGTGTCCCATGGAATTCTACAATGCACATGCAAAAAACATTGGGTAAACATGCTATTGCTTCTGTGGGCAAAGTGCCAGACTATGGAGAGTAGTTTGGCCTGGTATGGTCAAGCAGATAACCTGTGGCAGAGACACTGGTTCGAAAACAGCAGGACAAAATCTTCCTTGCATACAACATTGACATTGACACATTGCCTTCTGAGGCTCATGACAGTAACTGAATGTTATGCATATTCAAAATTGGCATTGCTGGTGCACCCAAGAATGGTACCATATATCACGGAGGATAGCGACCCCAACCCCCACCGCCCCACCCTCCCACCCACCCACTCACCCACTGGCCACGTGCCCCATTAGGGCTGTTGTCATGAATGTGGGGGGCACTATCTTGCATACCCACGTGTTATCTCCCATGCCCCCGCGCTCAGCACCAGATCGCTGACTCAGCAGCGATCCACCACGTTATAATGCTGACCCACATAACGGCAGCAAAGCATACTGGCGCCCCACACAGTTAGCCATTACATAAGGCGCCATTCACGGCAGCACCCAAAACTGGCGTCAAGGAAAGTGGCGGGATGCCACAGGCTGCTGCATTATCGCACACCACCTGCATTTCCAGATTGATTGGGAAAGCGAACCGGCACCTGGCCAATGTAGCATATAACATAACATTACATAAGGTGCCAATCACCACGCCAACCAATGAGAGCTACTGGGATGTCCCACTGCACTGGAGACTGCCTGGAGATCCCAATGACCTTGGTTTGGGTGATGATAGTATGCAGCTGGACACTGTGAATCTTAAGGACATGGTATTTGATTGAAGAAGGAATGTCATGGCAGTGTTTTGTTGGAGTGGACTTGATAAAATTGGGGCGATAGCACATGCAATGAGATGTGAGAATGTGCGAAAATGTTTTTGCATTATGGTCGTACATGATGTTGAAGTGAATAGAGCCCTCCTTTGCTATCTTGCATAACCCCCTGTGCTCTGCAACACCAGTCATGTTTGATAACGCCGGGAGCATTATCCAAAAGCCCCTAGCACCATTCAACACCCCTGTGCTATTCCCCATGATCTACAGTACATACAAGGCAATCTGTTGTACAAGCAGATATTTTCAATAGCCCACAGTGGTTTGGCTGAAATATGTATTAGGTAGCATGCACCAACACATCAAAAGTTGACTTTCATGCTTGTCTTTTTGCAACCTTGTGGCAAACCAGTACAAGGGATTTGCTGCAGTGCTTAATTCATATTGATGTGCCATCATAGCGTGCAACACCCAGAGCTTTCACAGCTATAGGGGGCCTCACCATGCTTCAGATCGACCATGCCTGAGTAAATGCAGAACGTGTGCTTCCTTGAGCCATTGATCCCCGAGCAGAAGTTACTGTCAATAACTTGAAACTCCCTGATTTCCAGCTGCTCTTTCATCGTTGCATTCATGATAGGGACCCACACAAACACACTGGCATATACGTGCATTGCGAAGAACGGGATCGTTGCAATCATTGGATGGGGTATATCCACAGCATGAGAATGTGGGAGTCTTAAAAGTGCAGCATCATGACCGCCTTCCAAGTTTGCTTGCCATGTGGGATGCACATATGCCTTCTGTGCTTGCACAACCTTGAGATGGAAAAAGCACATTGGCATTGTGTTAACATAAACATAGCGATGAAGCAAACGTGTATCAAAATTCCTGCATCTGACATGAGGCCTCTTGCTGTGTTTAAGATCCTGTAACTCTATGGATGGCCAAATAGAATATGTTACTACAATATGAATTGACCTAGTGACCATGGCATAGAGTGCCACTGGGCTCCCATATAGACTTAATCTTATAGAGTATGAACATATTTGCAGAAGTTATGAGGAAAATATGGCAAGCAAGAAAACCAAACCCTGCTTCATGGGAATAGCTCTTTATACCAACGAATCCATGATGATGGGGTGCCATATATATGCACAAATGCAAGAACAAGCAAGAGCTCCTCATCAAACATCAAGTATAGATAAACACTTCGAAGTATAAACAACAGCTATTGCGCAGGACCCACCACAATAAATATAGTGATTGTATTCAAAAGAAAAACCACAACTTTTTGACTAAAGGGGTTACGGTATGCCCATTTGCAGACCTGTGAATCACAAACTATGATCACTCATGCTGCTCAATATAGTTTTACACCACACAAGAACTGGAACGTGGAACAGCTTTTGATATGGTTTCTTTCAAATGCTTCATTTGCTACTAAAATGACATATGAGTGTGTAATGGCATGTCCGAATTATGTGTTACCCAGTTACATAGCTCATAGGGAGCCAAGATGTTGGCATAAAATGCACCCAAACATGTGTGGACTTAAGAATGGATCGACATTTGTTAGCTCAAGTTTCAGCAATGCCAAATATTTGCCAATATGCATGCCTCATTCTCTACCAACAACACACACACTGTCTTTGCTGCTGCATTCTATGTAAAAGCAGACAAAGCATCATAGCAACAAGGGTATCCACCAATCTCCTGCTGATTGCACGTCAGCTGCACGCTGGGAGTTTGTAATTCAATGCCGTCACTGGTTGACTATCAACATCTGCAAGCTAGACAATCTTGCAAAGCTGAAAATTGGGGCCCTTTCTGCTGCAGTGCATTGCGTCAGACAGTTGCCCATTTTGCTGAATTTGGGTCGTTGGTGTTTGCACAATACCTAAAAGCTCAGTGCCCTTTCTGCTGCAGTGTATTGTGTCAGAAAATTACCACTTCGATGAATTTGGGTCATTGATGTCTGCACATTACCTACAAGCTCAGTGCCGAGGGGTAAATTGCCATTCATGCTTGCTTATGCGTCTATTTGACAAGACACTAGTTTTGAAAGAAAGAAGCGTGAAGTGCTAAGAATATATTGTCTCTCATTTCCAAATGACGCTTGTGACCTTGCTTTTGACATTGCAGCCATTCTTGTTTTCATGGTGTAGAAATGTGCGTATCTACAGTTTTACATGCAAAAATAGCACCAATAATATTATTTATGTTTTTACATACAAATGCGCGGTGAAATACGTAAGTACAGGGCCCGTGTATATCAAGACAGAACACACAGATTCTGGGAGTCTGGGGAGTGGCAAGCACAAGTTGTGCTTGTGCTGGAGAGGTCAAAAAACGGCCCTTTGTTCGACGACGCCGTTGCCCTTGCTGAGGGCGAGGTGGAAGCAGTGTTGCGGGTGGTCAAGGGGGTGAAGAGCTGGTCATCATTTGCAGCTTCATCATGTAACCAGGATACCTCAATGCGCTGTTAAAATTAAAGTACATATAGCCATTAAAACAGCTGCATCTGTGGACTTCCATCTTTGTGTGTAAATACGTAATGGTGCTGTAAACCTAAACGAAAGCCTGACTGCAGCACTGTAATGTGCCTGCAGCTTGCAAGGGATTTGTCTTTGGAATTCTGGCTGCGGTTTGCAATTCCTCACCTTCCCATCACCATTCTGATCTATACCATTGGATGCCAGCCCAGGGAATAGAACCCAAGGTTCGGGTCCTGCAGTTTCGACGCATTGGGCTGATGTCAAGATGTACAATTTGTGAACCACCACGCCAGAACATGTCGGTTGTCTCCACGGATTTTTGATCAAGACGATGGCTGGGAATTCCTTGCTTGGAATCACCTGAGCATCCACATTCTGGTGTACATAACACGTATTTGTAATTATCATCTTTGTATCATTACAAACACGAGCAATACCTCAACAGAAATCAAAATTATCAACTGGTTGTATTATGCAACTAAGAATCGTGTCACGGCAGCATATTGTCGTTTTGTTCATTAAAAAGCTTTCGAACAGCCGAATTGGTCAAACTTTCTGATTAAATGGGTGCCATGAAGGGCTTCTGACTGCTCAACAAGACATGCACAACGTGGTACAAAATAAATATAGTCTTAAGTGAAAATATATATATTAATTGATATTTTTGTACAGATTAACCACTGGAGCTGTTTCTATATAAAGGATGCATTCGAAGGGCGCTTATTTCAGAAGTGCAGAAACTGGTCAATGTCAAAGTGCACACAAAGCTCACAAAATTTATGTGATTGCATTCTCCTGAAGTTGTACATTATTTTAGCATCTCTGATTTAATTAATACATGAACAATGGCTACATCACATTGTGTTGAGATATTTAGATTCATACGATGCAGGCCATTGGGCACAGCTGCCAGCAAATGTGATACTTCCTCCGTCTCAAATTAAATGAAGCAATTCATTGGGAAGCTGAATTTTTATCAAGTTTTCGTTTGTTTTTCTTGAAACTGCAGCCGCAGGAACTACTGTACATGGAGTAGTTGGCGCCCAAAAATTAGAGGGAGCGATTCATCGCACTGCATATTTGGCAATGCATCGAGCCTGGGCTACTCCAGTCCAGAATTTGGACCCTTCCAGGGCTTCCCCCCACCATCAAAAAATAGGATCCCGAGTCCGGGATGGCCCAACACACAGGTGCAGCCCCTCTTTGGGGATTTCAGGGCACTGGGAGGTTAGAGTGGCCAGCCTTGCTAAGGCTCTAGTGCAACCATCGGCACACATCGAGATGGACAACCGGCAGCGATGGCATATGAGAAAAGGCCCAACCTCTGGGGACGTCCCGGGCGACGCCCCCAAAAGGGGAGGGTAGGGGGGAGGGCTGTTCCTGAATTCCGTCCCCGGCCGGCAGAGCAATTCCGTCCCCAGCGACCCCACAACCCCGCATCACCGGGCGTCCCCAGAATTCGTCACCGGCCTACAGCACAATTTCGTCCCCAATGTCCCCACAACCCCAGGTCACCAGGATGTATCTTGGATCTGCCGTTGCCAACACGTCTCCTGGTGTCTGGAGACTGGCCATTGAACTGTTGTGAGTGCTGGACGCTCTCCATTCGTTGCCGATCTCGAACTAATGGCGTCACTGGCGCAAAGAACACCTACCCACAAAAGGACATCAATCCCACCAAACACGACCGATGGAGGGTGTGGATGCTCCATCTGAGACCCCCAGTTATGGATAGTGGTGCTGTTGCGTTCCAAAAGGGCAGCGTCCAATTGGACGATTTTGGCCAAAATCTGTCGCAGCATCGTTTTTCAAAGTAGCTTGAATGGCAAATGAAGTTCACCTTGTGGCCTGTGCCAGGCACAACAACATCTAGCAAATTTTTCGCTGCTGTGCAGCGAATTGACAACTGCATCTCACCAAACTTTTGGTGGTGGCCTAAACACTTGCAGCCACCCCGCCTATGGTGATGCCTCTTTGCAAAGCGCCCTGGTTGTGAACTTCGTAAATTTCTCTCCTTCCGATCCAATCTGAAGCGTCCATTGGGCAGTCGAATCCACGGTCGCGATTAACGATCGAGAGGAACTAGGTTCTGCGGCCTCGGCGCTTCTAGAGGAATGCCTCCACCCTGCAGCCACAGCGGTGGCCGCAGATATCCATTATGCGCTGTGCACCAACAGTCGCAAAGCGGCCTGGTCAAGGGGCCATTTTCCAGGAGTTGTGCCTCCAGCGCGGGAAAATTATTTTTTTGAAAAGTCCTGTGGGCTCAGAGCACAACCATTTCACCAATACTTATCCCTTTTGTACAAAAGTTTGATAGCATACAATAGATTCATGTTTAGCTCTCTGGCTAGCTTTAAACATGAAAATTTTAAGGCAAAAAAGCAAGTTTATACAAATATGCCCTCTCAAACAAATTGTTTCATTTAATTTGAGATGGAGGAAGTACTACACAGATGCACTCTTGCATCAACCACATGTAGGAGTCTTTATAGTGCCTCATCAATCTGCCATTATTGATGTGTAAGTTGTTTCTGTATCATGCATTTTACACTGAGCTGGAGTTCATCTACATTCAACAATTTCATCCTGTGGGTGATTTCATATTCCCTTGCTGACAAGCACATATCATATCATTTTCAGTGTAGCTGGAGCTTGTCCAAATTACTTTATTGCCAACACGCATCTTGGGGCATTTTCGCTCATTTGCATAAGCTCTCTTGAATGGCAATGCGTTGCAACATCAGTGGCACACTTACAATTGGGCAAAGCTGTTTGGAGGTAAGCCAGCTGCACGCACCAGTTTCCAGTCGCAGGCTGGACCCACCTGTGATTGGGCTGATTTCAGCCACACCAGCACAACCAGCAGGGCGTTCAAGGGCTTGGTGAATGCAAAGGCCTGCCTGCAAGCACAGTGTAAAGGCTCGTTTAGGCAGACTGCCACTGACAGGCAAACAGGTGTCCATTTGCACACCGTATGAGTGAATATGGCTTTTCATTCATCGCCAGAAATGCACCATCTGTACTAGTGATGGTAGTCGAGCACCACAGCTGGATATGGAAACTTTCTCTTAGGGTAGGGGTCCCTACATAGCGCCCCCCCCACCCCCCCCACCCCCAATGGCGCCCCTTTTTTGGGCTTGTCAACATTTTTGTAGTACTTTACGCAGCTTTGTTGCGCAGTGGGACCTGCACCACGTACACTGGCGGCTAGGGTACCCCTACACAGGCGGCCATGGTACCCTTTATACCAGCTGCTTTGGGTACCCCCCTTAGCACAACAGTGCCCCCGGCCCCCAGTATCGCCCCACTTTTGGCCATACCACGGTTGGGACCCCTGCTGTACACACCTAACGGGTGCCTGCCAGCCCTTGTATGAGGGGTGGCGGGTCCTGGTGCGTAGCCGGCGGTATAGGCAGGTACAGGTGTTACCCTGATTATCCGCGTAGTGCACAAATTCTGACCAGCCGCTAAGCGCCAATGCGCATTGGTTCACCCAAGGAGTGTCGCAGCCCCCACACTGGGTGTGGGGACGTCTGCGACAACACTTGGCATCTATCCTCCCCGCGCTCTGTTCCACGGGCCGCACGTTTGGAGGGCATCCAGGAGAGCCGGTGAGCGGGAATCGGGGAACGCAACGAAGCGGGATCCCGACCATGGTGCTGCATGGTCGTTGTCACGCCGTGGAACGTCTGAGGCGGCGGAGGTGCTCCTTGGGGCAGTCAGCACATTCCGCCCGTTTCGCAGCAAAACGCCTGGTATGGTCGGGACAATGTGCCCAACAATTAGCAGAGGCTGCACCCGTCTTTCTTGTCGTGGTTGTGGTTATTCTGTGGCTGTTTTATCTCTACTGTTGTGGTTGTTTGTGGCTGCTGACAAAATGCACAAGGAAAACAGCGAAAACTTGTCCCCGATCGCCGCGGCTGTTTCGCAGCTGCTCTTGTTTCCTGTCGCTGTGGCTGCTGCTTCCGCGGCATTCTTTGCCTTCCTCAATGCTGGATCGTCGGCGCGATCGTTGACCACAGGGCGCGCCGCCACTGCCGGATCGTTCCGGTGCCTTCCAAACGTGCCGTCCGCATAAAGAAAGTCAGTAGAAGTGCAGAGTTGGCGTCGCCGACTTTATCAAACAGTGCCGGCCAGTCTCAGCGTTGCCCGGCTGGCGAGCGCTGTGTAGCCGGGGCGACTTTTTCCGTACCCAGGGACATACCCGGAGCCGGGCAATGGCCATACCCGGATACCCGTTCGGGGATTCCCGAATACCCAGGTAACGGATAGTACCCGGTAGTGTTGGGTACCCAGTTGTCGAAAAGCTCTCACCAGCAGAAAACAATCTGTTCGCGATGCCAACTGCGTTGCCGTTTGACAGAAATTGATGCCATCACAGCCCCTTTTAAGCCACCGCAATCACTGTGATAGCATCAATTTGTGTCAAAATGCCATCGCAGCTGGCGTCGCAAACATGGCGTTTTCTACCAGTGTCTGGTACCCAGGCACAGTTGTCAGAGCTGGGTACCCTCACCTAATCTGTACAGAATGACGAGGCTCAGGCAGTGCTTGACAAGCGCACAAAGGGTTCTGGGATATGGCCACTGGACACACTACAGGAGGGCCACTGTTCGCTGGACAACACCATTTACCTATTGCAGGGCAAGGTGGATGTGATGGTGGGGATGCTCAAGGCAGTGGCAAGAGGATTGAGGCGGGGAACGGAGGCACATGGTGGGGTAGATGAAGAAAATTATCCAAACTCTCAACATCTCCATGGTATGCCCTGATGTCTCACTGGTATCTATTCTATGCCTTGGCCAGCAGGCCTGAACTACTGTTCCTTACCTTCTGCACGCCAGTTGGTCCTGGGCTTACTGATCAGTACTGTACAGGGGTTCCCCAGTGCTAGGCAACTGCCCTAGGCCCTTCCGTGAGCATGTTCAGACAGGCATCTCTTTTGTGTGCAGATTGCCTGTATGCTGTCTATATTGTTTCACAAGCCACCAGAGTGCAGCAACTGGACTGGGCTGAGTGCACTCCTTGCCACCTACTGCATTTTAAGTTTTTCATGAGTCCTTCCGTACTGTGTGGCACCAGTGGCTGTAGACTGCCACTGGTATACCTGCACTGCCTTCCTTGGGCTAACACCCCAAACCCATGTGGGGACCGTCACCAAGGATCAGGTAGTGAGCACTGGCCAGAGCAACAGCATATTGGTAGGCCAGTGCCAGCTCATGAGGGGCATCAGAAAAGAAGAGCATGGTACACCACCAACGAAGGAAAGCTGGGCCCCCTGGGTACCCAACCCAGACACCCAAGTATGAAGCCAAATCTGCTGACCAACAATGCACCACACCCATATTGGCAGGGGTAGTCGCACATTCATTGTGCACTGCAGTTCTCAATGCATTTCCACAACATGGCAAGGGTGCACCATTGAGAATGGCGATCCACGCTAGCAATTGCCAGGTTTGAGTGAAATTGATCTGGGTTTCAATATTGGAGGTGGCAACTGCAAATGGGCCACACTAATGTTGCATCTGCATGCTTATGTATGGCCAAGCAAAGACCAGGACCTGAAGTCATGAGAGTCACTGTGAATCACAATCACTATTTGGATCGATCCCCAACAATTGATACAGGCAGGTTTTGAGCCCTCCCAGGGAGTTCCCCTAAGGACGAATGAGAAAGGGAATGGGGGCACCCTAGACAACAGCTGACGCTGCATTCTTAGATACTCAAGCCCCATACTGCAAAGGCCAATGTCTTGCACTGGAATTTCGCCCACACTAAGTGCATGCCTGTGTTGGCTTGAAATCCTCTTGGAAGCAGAGGAGATGGCCTGCGTGGTTGGCTGCATCCGCTCTTTGATAGTGTTGCCTGCTTGTCCATTTTGAGGAGCCTTTTCACCAGTGTGCATTTCCCGACCTGTGCACCATGGCATGGTCACATTGAAGTCAATTGACTTGCCTGACCTAATAGCATAGCAACATGATACAGCCAGCCCCCACTCCCCCCCCTCCTTTTGCACAGTGAGTTGCCACAGTGTTGGCCTCAAAATACAAAGGGGGGGGAACTACCTTGTGTGCCCCTACAGCATGTAGCGTACCCTGTGCATTCCGTATCACTGACCATGTTTGACAGTGCCAGGGCACCATCAATGCCCACCTTTCCTGTTCAACACCCTGTGCAGAATTCTCTCTGATCTACAATACACTGTTCGCCTTTCTCTTGGCATGTTTTACCAGCTGGGTTGCTGCACAGTAACAGCACAGTATTCGAGTTGGCAAGCAGTCAGCAATTGCAGGGCATTCTGTGAACAAACACGGCCTGGCTGTGGGTAGGTGAGTGCGCAGTGCCAGGAAACGAACAAATGATGTCAGAAGAGGCACCCACTATGGAAGGATGGCCACCATGTTGTGAGGACAATGTTGAGCATCTCTTGGCAGTCAAGCGACTGGCCAAGGTGCACTTTCTATCAAGAAGACATGTACTCAAAGTGCTGATCTTTGATCACTGCAGACAAAAGTCAGCACCTTCCGCATCCTGACAATGGGTTAGGCGGGGAAACACAACCCCACAAGGCCCCTGGGAACCCGCTCAATCCGCGTTTTGCCAAGTGTTTCCGACAAATGTAAGCAACGGACTTCGCACGGCACCAGCTCACAAAAGCAATGGCCCATTCCCTTGCGACGACAACTGCAAAAGCCGTACCACCAACCCACCAGCCCCCCGTACCCGGCGCCCGCACCCTGGGGCCAGGCTCCAACGCTAGTTTAATCCAGCTCAACTTCAACTCGCGACCTACCTGAGCCACCAAGGCACCAGCGACTACAAATCCAACCCCAGCCGAAAGTCCCATCCGAGCACCTGCTCCCTTGGATCGAATTCCGACTCCCCAGACCCTGGCCATCGCTTCGCGAGGCTCGATAGAAATCCGCCCAAGCGTCGCCAAGCAAACCCAAGAGGACCCACAGCACGGCCGGCAGTTCGATTCTCCTTTGGAGGTGGTGACACAACTGGACCCTGCTGAAGCCGAACACGGGCACCCCACGTGAGCGAACAGGCGCCGGAAGGCACGAGGCCGGTCATGGCCGCACAGGTAGGGGGGAGCGATCTTCCTTTTCAGCTCGAGAGCCGAGGGGAGGGTTCCGGGAAGTTGTGGCATGCGTTTCCATCTGTTTCCATGTTCCAGCAGGCGGCGAGAACGCAAACATTCGCAAATCGGGTCGGTTGCCCGACCGGCGTCGCAACAGACGGTGCTGCAGCAGGCGCCGCAAGTTCGGACCATTCTTTTGGGGTGGACGCGCGGGGAGGCGCAACGAGTGCGCTGACCCGCATGCGAAGCGGCAAACGACGCCCAGCATGCCATCGATCAATCAGTCAGCCGTTCCGTTCGGCAGCTTAGCAGACGGCCCTGCGTTCGGAGCCGCAAGCTGGGACCGCCGTTGGAGAATTCGCGCCAGGAAGGCTCAGCGGTATGAGTGCGCTCACATGCGTGTGGAGCGGGCAACGACGCCAGCATGCCATCGATCAATCCAGCGGAGAACGGGCGGGCATGGGGCTGGGTAGGGCCACTCCTCTCCCATCTTCCGGCCGTTGAAATCAAATCTCGGCAAAGGCGGGAGGCGCCTTTGTGTCGCCGATGGACGGGGAGGAGAGGAGGGCTTCGGCGGTGGACGTCTTCTTGGGCGCCCCCCGGGGGGGTGTCCGGGCTGCAGGGGCCCGCGCACCTGGAGTCCAGCTGGCGCCAGCGCATGGGCCAAAAGCAGGGAATGCGTTGCACTTGCTTCTTTTACTGAAGTCCTCGCCCCGTTCGTGATTTTGTGTTGGGGTTCAGGCCAGGATATCTTTCAATGCGTATATTTAGCTCCGTACCAACTAATGTCGAATCTGGTACCAAACTGCCACCGTACCAAATAAAATTGAAACCAGTACCAACACATTGAATCTGGTATCGAATTCACACCGGCACCAAAAATGTTGAACGCTGTACCAAAAAAATTGAACCCAATACCAATTAATCAGCGAATGGCAGCCTGCGAACAGCCATGCGACCAGCACTGGGCTTGTGCTTGGTTGGTTGGCTTAGGGTTGAGGGTGTATGAGCACTGTATGGTAGCGGTGATTTGATGACTAATTGAGCCTTGCCGGACAGTGTCCGAAATAAGGTTGCTTTTCGAAACTTTGCTGGACACATTTCCCGAATTGGTGCATGCAGGATTTGTTGCCAACATTGTTGGGCTCAGTAAGTGTTCATGAGCATGCAACATGTTCTTTACTCCAAGGAGGTGTACCCATACAGAGGCAACCGTCTTCGACTTCCTACTGGAGGCTCTACATACCCGATCTTGACAACGCGGTTTGTTCAGTTCGCGACCACTACGTTGATCTGATTGTGGTAAGGGAAGGCACTATGTTGAAAGTGGTACGCTTAGCGTCATTTTGACGTCGTGGTGGTGGTGGTGGGTGGGTGTGGACATGTGATGCTAAGAGACTATGTAATTGACACTATTTCAACATAATATCAGAAGATACACAAAACGCCGTTGATCCAAGGCAGATGGCTCATGGCTTGTTCAAACCCCCCTCCCCCCCCACGCCACCCACCCATCCACTCACCCACCCAAGCGTTCAAACCTAAATGTAGACCCCAGAATGCCTCCAATAGACAGCCGTTAGGGCTGCCCCAATCACCTGAAATGGCATTAACCATCCCGTTTTTCAACGCATTACAATCGCTACAATTTCAGCCGTTTGTGTTCCTCAAAAACACCACAAAATTATCTAGCTCTGTTATGTAAGTTTGCTGAGTCATCCTAGCAACGACATAAGGATTGACGCTAGGGGAGGGGCAAGATTTGTTACAAAAGAGAAAGAGAAAGAGGTCATACAAAGGGCACCCCCTCCTAGGCAAGTGTATGTGAGGCTCTGTTCCATTCTTTGAAAGCATGATATAGAGCCTCCGAAGCAAAGATGACCACACAACACAAGCAAGTCATAGGCAAGAAAAACATGCGCTAGAAGAGGGGGGGCTGGGCTTAACGTCAAATTGATGCTAAGCGTACCAAAATCGTCTTTCTTAAGCATATCCCAAGTTGTCAATTGCAAAAAGCAGGTGACAGGTTGCACCAGAAAGGTGGCTCGCCCTCTAGTTCTTGTAGGCATTTCGCCCTTCTGCCACTCAAGGAAGAGCGGCGACCGCTGGGAGACTCGTGCCATATCCCTCCGTGCCAGAAGGCACTGTCTGAGAAAAGGCTCAACCTGCGGCGACGTCGCTGGGGTGACGCAAACACCGGCGACATCGCTGGAAGGGATTGGAAGGATGGCTGGCCTTCAGCAGCGTCGGCGGGATTTGTCGGGGATGGGGGGTTCATCGGGGCCGTCGACAGCATCTGCAGGGCTCTCAGCTCTCCAAGTGACGCTACGGGCCACTACGCGGCGACGTCGCCGGCCCTGCCTCTCAACCATACACACCCTGACGGCAGGGAAATCTGGCGACGTCGATCAAGATTAGGACTCTAGAGCACTGTCTGATTTGCATTATGTCAGTTCTAGTTGGCTGGTCGTCTCGTTTGCCAATAGTGCAGTATGGTGCAAGGCAGGGGAGGCACACCGATTGTATTACTTAAAGTTACCAATCGCATGGTGTACTGCAGTGTATTGGCGCACATCATCTCAAAGTTGACCCATCTTTGTAGACAACCAGGTGGGAATTGGCACCTGCCATGTAGTTGTACCACTTCCTGCTACAGGGAGTTCAAGTGCAAAGGGAGAAGTCGCCACAGCTCGTGTGTCCAAATTGGGTTCAGTTGTCAAATTTTCTCGCTGGACAGTGGCCCATTTAGGGATGTTACATCATTTTTTGGTCGGGCGAATGTCCGAATTAGGGTACCTTCTGGCGTTTACGGCAGCTCATTTGAAGTTTATTCAGACACAGATCGTCAATTCGGACACAAAAGGGAACCGAGATTCAGAGCGCACGAAGTAGTAAAGGGCGGAGGGGGTAGTTGCAGAGTGTACCGTAGTATATTGAACCCTTCCACATCAAACAATTTTCCGTTAGGCTGTTGCTCCGCATTTTGTTCTGAGCGTTATTTTTACATTTTAATTTTGCCCAACAAAAATATTGTCAAAACGGCGTTTTTTATTTCATTGTCTTCTCCACAAAAAAGGCCAAGCGCCACGTTACTACGCGGAAGGGTTGCATAAACCAGTGCATAATAGCTCCCTTGAGGCGATAGCAGTATGGGCGCTGATCAAAACCCAAACACCACTTCCTGAGGTACGGTATTCCTCCCACCATCCAATTGTGAATAGGAGTGGATGTGGCCTTTTGAAATCGTGCAATGAAGTCACCAGTTTGCTTGGAATCAACTTTATCGGATTTGGATTTGAAAATTTCGGTAGCAACGATGCCAGAAAGGGTGAAGCCTCAACACGCGCACGTGGACCCACTTCCGTGAGTGCACTGCAGCCTAATGTTGCAAGAACAATATCGACAGAGGAGCTGCCAATACTTCCAACTCAAGCGCCCGCAATCGGGTGGGGGCAATTCAAGAGCTCAAGGGAAAGGAGGTTGGACACAGAACTGACAACGAGTTTGCGACACTGTTGAGGTACACTTCTGGAGCAGAGAAACACAAAGCTCCCCCGGTGGATGACCACTTGCAATTGATGCAAAACTTTGTTGACACCAAAATTAGCGACTCTACCAACTGCCTACCGGCCAGTAGCCTCGCAATGGACACATTTCCTGAAGAATGGCACAGGCCACGCCTGCATCAACCAGCTCACTGCCACAATGCACCAATGGGCCCCAGGACATCATAGAGAGGGATGCAAGGGGCCGCAAAGGCGCCAGCCCCTGCTTTGTGACCTCCAAACAACCTCGAAGGTCCAACTTTGTGAGTGCCAGTAGGCTCGTCAACTTTTTTATGTTCTCATCCCTTGCTCCTGTATCCTGCAGGTCGAGGTCTGTGAGGCTGAAAAGGTTGCACATGGCCTCCCAGTCTTGCTCGCAAATGGAATTCCTCCATGCCAAGGACAACTTACGAAGTGCCGGGAAATTCGACAGGTATCTCATATCTACGTGCTTGCGATCTGAAATGGGTTGGGTCCTAAAATTCCTGCGCAAGGTCAATTCAGTCAGAGCTGTGAACACGCTTACATCTGCTGGCCATGGCACCCAATCACCATCCCATATTCTATTCCATCCCCACTCCCCTTCCAGCCACAGCCTCTTTAGCCCTGTCAAGACTGTTAAAATCTGAGCAAGATAGTGTTGGTGGTTCCTGGGGCAGAGCACTTGCAGGCTGGTAAGGCTGGTGAGGCAGCGTAAGCTTACTACACACCGAATACCGTATTTACCCGGTATTAGTAGGCATGTATTGGACCCCCCAAATGAGTTGTGGATACTAATAGCGGGTCATGTATACTAACGGTTTGGACCCCTGATTCCAAAGAGTAGACAAAGAAAATTTTTGACAAATAGGCCGTGAAATACCCAAAAATGGACAAAAGCGGCGATGCTAGTGCGGAATGTTATCAGCCTCTTCACAGGAACTGGCGGCCTTGACTTGGGGCTGCATCAGCTGGTGGCGACTGGCGATTGGGGCCGTCAGGGGCTCGCTGGAATGCTCCAGGCGCATTTGCCTCTGCAATGCAAAGAACAAGGCCTGACATGGGTCTCGACTCACTGGGGCACCACGTCGCGACGATGCTTGACACGCGGCGTTTTCCCTCGCTGATGGCGGCTGGGAAGGCTGACGGGATCTGTGATTGGGTATGTGGCCTGGTAGCCAGTGAGATGTGTTTTGCCCCACCTTCGCAGCATTTTACGGCCAGTTTTGCAAGGCGGGGTCTCGCAACGGCAGTTGCCCTGACCAATGCCGTCGCCTGCCCATTCCTGGCGCTGGGCATGGGGGGACCCGTGCCAAGCGCCAGGCCGGAACCTGCTCTGGCCGGCCAGGGAGCAGGTTGGCTCAATCCAGAAACTAGGGCGGCTTTGAATTCTCGACCGCTTCTATCATCGGGCCTTGCGGCGTCGGTCGCTGCCTTGCGACCCTGTGCTGAGAACGCCAACGGCGGCCAGTCGACCGCGCGGCTTTTCGCGGGAACCCCTCCAAATTCTCCCTCGAAAACATCCACCCCGACCCGATCGTCCCCGTCGATGTGCGAATCGCAGGGAACGCGGTCTGGTCCAGACTGGGCAACGAGGTCCAACACCAGCCCCCGACTTCCCTTGCCACCATCCGCGCCTTCCGTCGTTTCTGCTCTGTTGAGGTTTGGGGGTGGATACTAACACCGGGTCATGGATACTAACGACCCCCAAAGAGGGGGGTGGATACTAATAGGGGGTGCCTACTAATACTGGGTAAATACGGTACTTGCAGCCCTCTCATCCAGCCCAATAGACAGGTCCTTGAGGCATTTCAGAGTTGACAGTGATGCCACCACAGATGCAGTGCACTTGCACAGCCGCAGTTTGGCAAGGGTTGTGAGGGCAGACATTGTGGTGATGCCAGCCATCTCTCCTCTGCAAGGGGCGCAGTGCCAGCACTCAAGCTCTACAAGACTGGTTATGCTCGTTAGCATGTTCAGTGGAGAGCAAGCACTGTGAGTACCTTGAGCAGCATCGTTGAACACCAGTCTCAGGGATGAGAGAGCTATCAAGGCCAGCAGGAAGCTGATGTTGTCTATGCAAGGTGTCACTAGACCGACAGAACAAAGCGCTGTTAAAGAGCTCAGAAAACTGAAGCCAGGGCACTCAGCTGCGTCCTTGAGATTGGTAAGGCTGATGAAGGTGAGTTTTGTCAGCGCCCTGAGGCATGCCATTCCTGCATCAGTCGTCCTGACGATGTTGTTATTGCCAAACTGAGCGTTTGTTCTCACAACCTTGAGATCTGTCAATGGCAGGGCCCGCAGAGCCTCAAGGTGATGGTCACCGATGCTTGGCAGCGTTAAACAGAGGTTCCTCAAATGGTAGATGCCCCTCAGCTGGGACAGCTGCAGGGCTGTCATTGGAACAGTTGATTTCAGCTGCAAACGCTCCACTCCAGGGAACTTCTCCACAACAATGGCTATTGTCGATTCCCATGTCCCAACTGGCAGCTGGCCAACTTGCCAAGTGGAGGGTATTGACTGGCAGGTTGGGTCATGGTTTCTGATACAGAGTTCTGCAACTGGGGCATTGGCACACTGATTCCAGTGGCGATTCACCATTCTCATGTTCTGCACTGAACCTCTGGTCCCTTCAAAGGCTTCATCTCTTTCAAGGGCTGCCTTCACACTGTCCAGCAGGGGAGCTGGCAATGCTTCCCAATCCCCACATGCACCCTCCTGCCACAACACAAAGCAGGGGATTTCCTGAAAATAGCTACTCGAGTTCTGGAGAATGCTTGATATCAGGTGAAAGGTGGATGTCAAGAGAATGGTGCACAAAGAAGCAAAAGTCCAATGCTAGGTGCTGCTGCATGTGGTCCGGTCATACGGCTGACTGTTTTGGAACATTGGGCAACTTCCTTTCGGGGGAGGGAATACCACGTTGGGAATGAACAGCTAATGGTCCTGGACTTTAGCACGCAAAAATTTTAGAAACGATTGTGGATGTATTTCTGGGTGGGAATTGAGGATATCTAGAGCTCATGATGCATAGCTACACAGCTGGCATCTCAGCTCTACTTACTGGACAAGGTACTGCATAATCACCAATTTTTGTGTCCACGACAGTTCACCAGTACACCAGTGTGCACAACTGCAAGGATCCTAGCAGCCCCTAGACGCAAGCATGCCTCACTTCAAGTGGCCGCGGCGGCGGTGGCGCGGCAGAGTTTTTGCCCCACAGCCGACGTTGTTTCCGTGACCACATTTGCGATTCGAGCCATCAATCACTCTCAAAACCCAGCCATGGACTCCCAGCACGTGTCCCGCAAGGACCGCGACGCTCCCTCCATCGCCGCGATCGCCAGAGCAGGCAATCGCCGCGACTCCCAAACTGTCGATCGGCTCCAAGAGTGGCATTCCCACTTCTGCCCGGTCTGTCCACAAGCGTCCGCACCCACCCACACACCCCAAGCCACCACACTCACCGCCACATTTCTACTCCGCACAGACCCCATGGTCCCGCACTGTACTGCAGGTTCTCTGCGTGGAGAACAGGTGAGGCGCGCTTGACGCCCCCCTTGCGTGGCTGTCGACTTTCCGCGCTGCACACGAGGTGCCCCGTTCCGCTGCCAACTACGTCTCTGGCGACTTCCTGCCAGCTGCTCGCCACCGCCAACATTCGCTCTCCCCCCCCCCACACCTTCAAATGTGAAGAAACGCGGCGCACCATTGGTTTAGGAAAATCCTTGTACTGGGTTCAGCGCAGGCCTCACGCTTGATTCGCGCCGCGCCGATCAAGAGCCCGCTGCCCTACCCCGCTTTTCCCCTTGGCGGGGCAGTTTTGATCAACCGATAGCCGCCATTACACTTCCAAGCTAAATTTGGCTAAATTTATTGAAACCCGCAATAATGGTTTATAGCATTGTTGTGGATTTTAGTAATAACTGGTGATGATGTTCAACAGATATATTGCTGTTAAGTATCATCACCAGCTATGAGTGTTTACTCAAATCAATTGCGGCCGATCCCCACAAAACAGCACAAAACTGCAATTCACCACAGGTCCAGCCGGTGTCGGGTGGGCCAAAAACAATGTGGGCAAAAGGCGCAGTTATGTTTCCCCCCTTCGTCATGGTTTGTAATTGCGCTTCATTGAACACACTTGATGCAGTACTCAGCTCTTGACTTTATCAGAAAACGCCATGTTTGCGATGCCAACTGTGTTGCCATTTTGACACAAGTGGCGCCATCACAGTTTTTTTGATGGCACAAAAATGGGTGTGATGCCATCAATTAGTGTCAAATGGCATCACGGTTTGCATTGCAAGAATATCGGTTTCCGTTGGTGTGATATTTAGGGCTTTGCTGCACCTGCGGTGTCCTCACGAGTGTTCAGGTTACCTCCCTCTGGTGATCTCTGGCATCAGCCCCTTCAGCGGATCAGTCTTGGCATTTACGGTGTGTACACTTTCCGTTTGCGGCTACTTATGTATTAAAATGGTTTTTGCGTTTGTGAGTGTAAAAATGCGTAAAATGGGCCCTGAATAATTAAAGACAATGCGTACCGACTCAGGGAGTCCGGGAAGTGACAGTCAGATGGGCTGAAATTTGTAGAAAACAACTTTTTTCTTGGAGACGTCATTGCCCCCGCCGAAGGTGAGTTGGACGCCGTGTTGCCGGTGCTTGGGGTTTTGGAGCACTCGTCATTATCTGGGAAGCCGTCATGTAATTTGGGCGTGTCGACGAGCCGTAAATATGGCCATTTCTCTGTTTCACGTTTTCCACTTGTGAAAACGCAAAAACGCAGAAATGGCCATAGACCTAGAAGACCAATCCTGCAACAGAGGGTTCCATGTAGCTGTACTGCTTCTTGCTATGGGGACCTCGAGTCCAAAGAAGGAATTGGCCAGTTTTTCGTCTGCCCAAATTGGGGGCAGTTGCCGATTTTCTTGCTGGACGGTGCCCGAACACGGGCATGCTGCAACTTTTTTTGGTCTAACATATTGTCCAAATTGGGGACCCCAATTTGGGGTCCCTCCTGGCGTTTGCGATGGATCACTTGAAATCAATGCATAAGGAATCATTAGAAGTCCATCAGATTTCAAATTTTGAATCAAATTTGGACACAAGCAGTGAGTTCGGACATAAAAGAAGCCATGACGCAGGATGAGCGATTTAGCGAAAGAAAGAGGAGCAACTGGTTGACAAAAGAGCTCATTTCGGAGGATTGTGATCTGGAATGATTCCGATCAGCACCCGCTCGCACGACATAAGTATGCCCTCTCCTCACCTTAACCCCCTCGGCCTTGTATCATCCAACTGTGAATGGCCGTGACACGGCCTTTACAAGCCCGCTGTGAATATCGCCCGTTCACTCATTGTCAACACAATCAAATCGGTCTCTGGAGAATGTTTGCCATCAGCTGAAAGGGAGGTGTCAAGAGAATAATGCACAAAGTGCCAAGAGTCTAATGCTAGTGCTGCTGCATGTTGTCCAGTCACACGTCTGACTGTTTGGCAACATTAGACGACTTGCTATGGGTAGAGAGAAAGCACATGCTGGGAGTTTAGAAACAATGGCCCTGGGTGGGATCATGCCAAGGCTATGGAAACAGTTGGGGATGTACTTCCAAATGGGAATTCTGAATATCTAGTGTTCGTGATGCATGCCAGGCTGCACAGCTAGCATCTCAACTCCGCTTACTTGACAAGATATTGAGTTGTCATAATATTTTGCGTTAGTGCCATGTAACCAGTCCACTAGGAAAAAACAGGCCAGATGACATAGTCCTGACATGATCTGCTCAAAATCCAAATGTGTACTTTCGGCAAATGTGGTCCCAAAATCATACAGTTGGTGCACACATTGAGACAGTTTCAACCGTGCACCCTCAAACAACTGTGTGGACTACACGGTTTCACACGGTACACGGTTAAACTGTGTCAATGTGTGTACTAACTGTGTGATTCTGGGACCACATTTGCCGAAAGTACACATTTGGATTTTGAGCAGACCGTGTCAGCACTGTATCATCTGGCTTGTTTCTACTAGTGGTCTGCGCAACTGCAAGAATCCTAGCAGCTCTTCAGCACAACAGGCTACATTTTCAAGTGGCTAAACAAGGTGCTCATGGGGTCAGCGTCGGCGTGACAGACTTGGATCCACCACGGCCGACATTGTCTCCATGAACACATTCTTGATTCGCTCTTTCATTTACTTTCAAGTCCAGACATGGATTTCCAAAATGCGGCTCCACAAGGACGGAGAGGGTCCTCCCATCCCGCGATTCCGTTCTACTCCCGGCACCAGATCGCCCGGCCGGACAATCCTGGCGACTCCCACCTTGACGGTTGGGGCATCGATATTGGAATACCCACTTCTGAATTCTCTCCAAACATGCCCCCCCCCCCGCCTCGCACCGCCACAATTCTACTGTGCAAAGGCACCATGATACCTGCGCTGAACTCTGAGAGTTGTGCTACATGAGAGCGCTGGGCTGGACACCGCGTGCATGGCTGTCGACTTTCCGCACAGCGCTCGAATCACCCCATCCGCCTGCCCGCTGCTTCCCTGGCAGCTTCCTGCCAACTACAGTACCATCACCACCAGTAACGTGTAGCATTCGCTCCCCCAGCCATACGCCATTGGAAGGAAAAATGACGTGCACAATTGCTTCGAGGGAGTGCTTTGTACCAACTGGCATGAAGTTAGTCCCTCTGTCTTTTTGCGCAGCACAAAAAGTTTTCGAAACTTCGACACCCTAAACTGCTGTCCCACTGAGCCGCATTGGCTTTGTCAGCAGAAAACGAAGGTGTCTTCCAGGAAAAGAAGTGGGGACCGATATAGGCTCATAACGACCTTGGTGGATGTCCCATGTTTGGTCCACGCCACACCGACTAACACCACGCTGTCCTTCTCCCCCTTTTAACCTCCCTTCCCGCGCGTCAGTTTTCATCAACCGATTAATGCTATTATTACTTCTGAAATACTTCTGAAGCACATTGCTTTTACAGTGATTATGAGTGTGGCTCCATTCCATCGGACAACACGGTGCCAAAAAGGTAGCGCTGAGAGCGCCCTGCAATCCCTGGCCCAGCGATCGACAAGAGCTGCACATCATATGGCGTGTTCCCTGCATTTCAAACAAAGCTTCTTCAACCATGCCAGGCTAGGGAGAGGTTGGAAGACACCATTGGGGATACCATCGATACTGAATGCGTTCCATCGCATCCCCAAGGGACACCCTTAAGGGATTAGGGCTTGGTAAGGCCTGCCTACTAGTCATTGTTCAGGTGTACGCCCCTTTCAGATGCAACGTTGTTGAGCTTGTCCAGGTTGTCCACGATTTGCGTGACATGAAGGCCGACCCTGGGCCCACATTCCATTCCCGATCGGCCGACCTTGATCAATTAAATATTGCTTTCAGTTATCATCACCAATGGGTTTGAAGCCTTTGCATATCTAAAATGACATTTCTTGGCCGGGTCAGCGACACCAGCGGAAAGTTGAGTTGTGGTCCGCTGTCCACTGGTCTGCAGTGCCACTAGTTCTGTTGCATTCATTGCTCTTTGCAATTTAACAGGGCAAGGGGGGAGAAGGGGGGCATTGAAAAGGCTCACAAAGGGTGCACTGTTCTGCTCTTTGAGAACAGCAACAGCACCCATTCGACACAAATAGCATCTCCCAAAGCGAAAGCATAATGAACGAGTGCCCAATTCATCATGATGCAAATTGGGCTGTAAAACAGTTCTTCTCAAGCTTCGCTCCTCTCACAGATTGGCTCAACTGCAGGGATAACCTGACTGACACGCATGATGACAACCAGCTGGGATGTTTGTAACAGAACACCGTAGACCATACGAATCCCAGAATCGGGCTTACAACCCCGTATTGCAAACCGTGTGATAGTGTTCAATCCGTCAGACGATGGTATGCGCAGCTGCGTTCAAGGAAACGACCTCCTGGTACTCCAGTCACGCTGATAATATCAGCTGGTCAAGGGCTTGTCAAGACCAGCCTCAAAACAACAGCCCTGAACCACTGAAACACTTGAGAAGGCTCTTCAGCTGTTCTTCAGCACTTGGACAACTCGTCGCTGCGTTTTGTCAGTGAAATATGACGCGCACGAGGGTCAGCTGGTCAGCGACACTGAACGAGAAAGGGCTTGCAGCTCGGCGACAGAGCGACTGGGTTGGTCAGCCCTTCACCCAACGGCCGAGGGGTCAGTGACCCTCTCCCGCCATCCACAGCTCTCCACACACAACACAGCCCCCTTGTAGAGCGCTGGTGCTTGGCTGCGCGCCAATGCCACCCGTTTGCACTCACTCGCTCATGAACAGGGGATGTCTTACAGCTGCATCCGTCCATAATAGCCCCGTCGTCGCTCCCAACAACCCGCTGTAAGGGACAACAAACCCCAGCTCCCACAATACTTATGGCGCCCCAAGGTTTTGGGAATGCCCCCCATTCCTAAGGGTGCCACCTTTCAGCCTCCGAATATTCACCATCAACACCCTAGGTGCACCACAACCCCCTATTGGGTGCCTGCGGCTCCGACGCTCGCCTCCCTCACGTCATTGACATCGTACCATGGCCACACGGCCTTCCCCACACGCCAATCTCCCCTCTCGTCATGCTGGGGCCCTCCGAGGTCTTGGGAATAGTGCCCATTCCTCAGAGCGGCCCCCCAACGCAGCGCTGACTCACCTACAATAGTTCCCGCAGTGCCCCATCACGATCAGACCGGATTGGCATACAGGAGACTGCCTTTCAATCAAATGAACGTCACAAACTACTTGCTGTACATCTTGACGTCACGGATCTACGCCAACGGACGCATCAATGCAGTCCGCTCTACTTCACCCGTTGAGATCCATGTTTCCACTCCCCGTACATACACTCTGTCCCCTTTTCTTCTTTTTTTTCGCTTTTTCTTGCATAACTTTGCTCACAATACATTAGACAAGAGCTGTCTTCCATGGCAACACTTAACTTCACAATACGAGCTGCATATCCTTACTACTAGTTCTGTACAATTCACCATCCGTGCACATTCCAATCACTCACAAAAATACTAAAAAAACCTGCCAAAAAGTCAGTCAAATGGAGACAGCACCAAACGTACCTATCCCTGCCAGATTTGTCCCCGTATCCATGCCCAGAATCTCGACTGACGGAGATGGTCCGTCCTCTCCCGTTCAGTCTCCACTGGATGACCTGCACTTGCACTCCAGGGGTCGCAACACGCCCTTGTATGTGCGCTTCCAGCTCAGCTGCAAAGGTCTCAACCTCCTCCTTGCAGGGCATTCCCAAAAGCTGTCGCCAGTGCCTGATCTTCGCCAAGCGGGGGTCCTCGCTCACACTGGACGATGAACCAGCCATGCTGGATGCTTCGGACAGTCCGTCCAAACCCATTACATGTGGACTATAAATACTCTATGAGCCAGATGGTCATAATCACAAGGAATGCCATATCTTTCTCACTACTAATCCAAATGACCTGTTCGTTGGCTCATTGGTTAAAAGACCAGCTATATTATCACGTCCCAAAGTTTCATCTCATTCTGCCCATATCTTCCAACTCAAATTCAGATTCTTGAGATGAAATTTTTGATATCTCCGTAACCGCTGGGTCCCTGGAGCCCAAACTTTGGCACCGAATAAGAACTCTAACTAATTCAGAAGAGGTCAGAATGAGTTGAAAATGGTACCAACTCATTACAAATCGATCACTGAGTACATGCAAAATGTCAGAAAAATGTAATGACCTCATCTAAACTATAATGAGTTCTGAAAACAGGTGCACAACCAAGTCCAGGTGTCGGCCTTTGGGCGGCTCAATTGCGCAATGAGCCTTTGGGCTGCGGCGACCCCGTGGGTACGGGAGGCATTCACGATGGCCACGCGCGGGGAAGACAAGTCTGTCACTCACGATCCGAACCCATCATTACAAACGAAGCGAGTGGTATTTATAGTGCGATGGTGTGACATTTCATAAGTTGTTGTCTCCAGAATAACCACTCTGGCCACTTTCACGAGCTGGCCGGGTTCGTGTCCATTTCTCATGCCAAGTTTCTATTCCCGCCGCCCAGACCAACTATGATCCATTGCCAACTAGCCCAGCAGCTACCCGCGTACACTACCCACTCCCACTCTCCCTCACTCCCACACTTCCTCAGCTCCTATTCCCGCCGCCATCCCCAACTATGATCCAATCCCAAAGCCGTCCCCGTTCATTCACTACTGCCAATTCCCCTTAACTGGCTCCCCTATGATACGTACAACCCCACTCCCCACACAGGCTTGTTGGAAGTTTCAGCTGGTCGTAAACTACGCCGACACGCTCCCACGGTCGATACGCGCCCGATACTGGGCGATATTGCCCGATTCCAGCCCACCGCGGCGCCCCCACGGGTGCCAGGTTGAGTCAGCTGGAGGCAGTACAGCCGTTTGCCCCTGACGCAACCTCCGCGTCCCCATTCACACCCCGTGCCCCGCCGGCCTCCGGGACGACCGCGTTCTGTCCCCTGGGCCTCCGCGACCAAACTCCCCGTGCAGGATGGGAGGCAACCTCCCTATCCGTAATCCTGCCGGGTTACTTTTTCGTTGGAGCGCGAGGATCGACCGTGCGGCTCCGTGAGCCATGGCCATTCGCGGGATCCGTGTCCGACCGCATGGAATGTGGGGGCTTTCTCTTCCCTCGCCGTCCGCTTGCATTCTGTTCCAGCAGGCCTCAAGGCCTCTCCCTTGCCCGTGTTTCCCACCGGCTACTTTTCGCTCGGCTCGTCGAGATCGGTAATGCGGCCGGGTGGATGGGATGGGCCTCCCGCGGCCCCATGGATGACCCTCGGCCGTTTGTTGCGATCTTGGGGCATTGCTCCGATGTCTCGACGTGGAGCTCCTCAGCGTGTTCCTCTGAGCGTTCCGGTGTGGTTTTGCGGCACACGCATGGGTTCCCGAGTCGTCCTGGGCGGTGAGGAGTCGACGGTTGCAGCTCCAGTACATTGCGGCCAGCGGAGGCTCAATGGTGCTTCCATGGTGCTGCGCGAGTTTCTGTTCATGGCCAGCCGTGCTGGAGGGTGCTTCGCGCCTGCTTCGTGCCTACGGTGGCTACGCTGACAGTTCCTGTGGGCCTCCAGAGCGCTCTGGGCCCCTGTGGCGTTGTCCAGATGCTGTGACGGTGTTGCCATTGACGCTCGTAGTCATTCTGGGCCGAGTCTGGGCTACGTGCCACTGGTTCTGGCCCTCACGGGGCGCCAGCTGAGCGCTGCTAAAGGGGCTGTTTCTGTATGCAATCTTTCTACATTAATTGGCGCCCCGAACAATAAATATAGTACCGCACACAAGCCGCGTGTTAAAATGTCAAGTTCAAGAAAGCGCTTCATCCAATAGCATCGAAGAATATCCAGAATCCCGCATGGGTTGCGTTTGCCAGGAGCACTCCCTTTCGCAACGCAAGGAAGGCCATATCACGGCACCATACAAGGGAAAAACAATACCACAACGGCAGACAGCAACACCATGTCTTACAAGGGCGCAACTGTCCAGAAAGCAATTTCCCTGCCTGCGCCATGGGCCTTATTGCCGCCCTGGGCAACTCAGCCATCGCCCAGAGGTGGTGAAGGCCCCGACATTTATACAGAAGCAGAACAGGGCCAAAAAGGAGTATTCTTTTGATATTCATCGCCACCCACACACTAATATTCATGCGTTGGACATCGTCCAAAAAGTGCAAGAGTCCGTCATTGCCCCTTATGTGCAAGGGTCCGCCATGTCTTGCAAAGGCAAATGCGGCACACTAATATTCATGCGTTGGACATCGTCCAAAACGTGCGAGAGTAGGTCATTGCCCCTTGTGTGCGCAAGGGGTCTGCTATGTCTTGCGAAGTCAAACGTGGTGCAAGGAGTTCAGCAGTTTGACTAATGCCCATCCAGGAAAAGTCGGCGCAAAAACTCAGCGGTACTTGCTGTACCAACTTTTCTGGAATGGCTGTGTCCGGCAGGAGCCAACTATTGTTCCGCCGAAGCGAATGCAATCAAAGTGGATATTCACAGCGTACCACCAAGATACGCTCCGATCCACCACATCCGACATAGCCACTCACAAAAGAAAAACCGCCGTGGCAATTGCACCTCCCCCACTACCTCAATCCACTCACTACCTATTTCCTCCAGCCCACTGGGCTGGCAGCCCCAATCCAAATCCCCTAACTTACTCATTTTTCCAATTTGCGAAGCACTCATCCATTGTGGCTGGCCCATCCATCGGGGGTGCATCACCCACACATGCTGTCTGCCTCCTCCTTTGCGTCGCCTGCGGCCAGCCTCTTTTCCCGCACCCTGCTCAGATTCTCAGCGGACATGACCACCTCCTCATGGTCCCTCCGCCACATCTCCACGGCCTTACTGAAGCACTCCTCGGCCTCCGCCAGCTCCCCAACCTGTACATGTATGTATACACACATGCATTCATAATGAGCAACAACGAAAGCAGCAAGAACGAGAGCAAGAGCAATAAAACAGCAATGACACAGCCAACAACAATAATAACAACAGCAATAGTAACAAGATGACAATAATAACAATGACAGGAACAATATATGTGAATTCAATGTTTTAGACTCAACAAAGATACAAGGCTTAGCACCTAACAGTACTTTCTTGTACCACATTTTCCTGAAAGGCTGTATTACAGTCTGTACAACATATTGCATAGTCTGTATGACGTACTGGACTGTCGGTTGAATTGTGTCAAATCGAATTCTCCTAGCCGTGCACTAGATTCCCCTCTTTGTCAGTGATACGTGACAGACCTGTTCTAGTACAAGTCCCAAGTTGTTGAGTCCCACGGCCACCATGGGGTGGCTGCCGCAGGCGTCTCCCAGCGACCGCTTGCGCACGTCCAGTGCGTAGCACAGCACCGTCTTGGCCATCTCCAGACGACCCTGCGACCTGTGTGCAGGCACCCATTGGAATCAGCTGGGCCGTTACCCGAATTGCAAATAGAGCACAGCTCTTGAGTGTTCTCAGTTGGGCTTCATTTAATTCAAAGCTTTAGCTTGAGGCCTAGAATCAAGTGCCCTTACAATTGGCGTATTAAAACAATTGTGTGAATTACAGAAACGAGACTGTGGTGCCTACGGAGGAGGCAGTTATCGTCCTGGTCACTTAAGAAACCACCGTGCCACTTGTGTTTGCACAGTCGTTGGATTCACAGCAGTTACTTTCACGTCACCAAACACTGATCGATGGTATTTCATACAATTGATAGATCAGCGATGAATTCAGTGTTGATATACAGGGCCTGTGCTTGAATGGCCTTTCAAATACAAAATCACCTGCAGATAGCTGAAGCCAGGATGTTACAATCAGGGCAATTGCATGGGACAAATGCTCATGGGACAATTTCAGGTCACAGTCTGGGGTAGATTTCACTTCATAGGGCAAAGCCCTGCTACTTTTTGGCCCATCCCACATCATACATTCACTTATACTCGCTTGTTACACTCTTTACCATCCTCATTCGTCATCCTCAATCACCATACCCATTGACCATATTCATTCTCTAATCAAAGTAAAAGAAAAGAGATTCCTATTACTCATTGATATATCCCTCATTTACTTGTCCATGCATTCTTCAAACATTCTCTTCAGCACCCCCCCCACCCCACCCCCTCACCTGTGCACCAGCCCCATCCCATTGAGGCTGTCCGCCATGGCCATAGACTCGCATCTCGACAGTGCACCCCCGGACCGCCTCCTCCCACTGGGCCCCCCCTCCCCGCCATCGGGGCTTGAGTCTGCGCCCTCGGGGCGTGCCCCTTGACCCAGCAGTGGCGGTCCCTCGCAGTCATTCATGCCCGTCTTGAGGTGCACCAGGGCCTCGCGGAATGCGTCTTCGGCCTCAGTCACTTTGCCCTCATGGAGCAGGGCGTAGCCCAGGCTGTTCCAGGACTCGATGACAGCTGGATGGTTGTCCCCCAGAGCGTGTCTGCAGATGATGCCAATTCAAGGAGATGTTGGCAGCAACGATGTATGATACCATATTACGAAGTGCTGCTGAGCACTGAAGTAGTCAGCTTTGTGTAAAGATTTCTTGATAGAGTGTCCAAGCCAATGTTGTGATATTATTATGATTCTGATAACACCATTTAGATTTCATGTTGCAAAGAATGGAGCTCACATTTGGAATCGTGATAATCGTGACAGATGGGAAAAGCAACCAGAACGCTATTAACTCATCAACAATGCACCACATGTTGCTTGCAATTACCACAAAGTGTTGAAATACACAAATATAACAAAGCAGTACAAACAACTACAGAAAAATATATAACCAAACTACTACCAACTCAACTGCTACATAACCATCAGGAAAGCTAATGGAAGTGTGCTTCCACCTGCGAATGTCAAGTGCCCTGCGATGTGCTTCCTCGGACTCCCTGTGGCGTCCCCGAGCCCGCAGCGCCACTCCCATCGCTGTCTGCCTGGCAGCCTCGTGCAGGCTGGCCACAGTCGAGGGATCCTGAGCTGAGACATTAACAGCCTGCTCCACAGCATGCTCTAATGGGTCAGTCACCTCTTTGTCATTCAAAAGCAACTTATGCAAAGAATTAAACTTCAAGTGGGTTAGTCACCAATCTGCTGTTTGAATTCAACTGGAAACCAAAAAAATTAGCCTCAAATGGGTCGGTCATTGAGCAGGGTCCGATGTGCTGGATCGATGGGACAGCTGTTCAGTGCTGCGGTGGGATGAACTGGCGCGTTATTTGCCAATGTTTTGAATGGAGGAAGTGTGAATCACGGGCCAAGTACAAGAGTACTTGAGACTGAAGAGGATTGTGCTGTAAATGGACTTACACGTCACGTCCAGGAAAGGATGCACTGTCCAATGTGCATGGCATAATAACTGACTGCATACACACGCAGTAAATAGAACTTGCATTTGAAAAACTGCACTACAAACTATCTAGGGCATCATTGGAGGCTACATTATGTATGCAAACTTAACATTGAACGTGCAGAAAGTGTTGTGTGGCAAAAGAAGCACTGGAGTTTGCTTCTGGTTATGCATGGAGTGCAGCCCAAACTATGCTGTGTTGTACATGAAACTTCTGGCTGTTCCATGAACCACCTTGCTGAGTGTAGGATGTGCTGCTGTGTGCTAAACTTTCTCAAGAGAGCATTCCGCTGCACATAGTGCATTGTGCATGAATTACAGTGGCACAGTACCCCGATGTACATAGAGCACCTTTGCGTATAAAACATTTACAACATGCAAAGCATACATACAAATGGATGTCCAAAACCCATGTCCTCTGCACAGCACGCATGGTGCCTGAAACACTATTTGTTGCAGTTCATGTACAATAAGCTGCATGTCCACGTACAAACTTTGGTACACAAGTGTTGCACAGTACATAATGCAATGTCTTGTGAAGTGCTTTCCATTCAGCCCTCCACTGTTGATGAAATGCTGTGCTGTGCAAAATCACTATACACAAGCACAACACAACATCTTGAACATAAAGCATTGCGCTATGCCTTCCCCAGAGGACGCAAAGTACATCGTGTAGTTTGTGCACCACTCACTTGACAGCCTCCCCAACTTGGAGTATGGCGTCCAAGGGTTGAAAACACTATGCCCTCATGTGGCTGCGGAGATGAGGAGGCTGAGTCAAACCTCTGGCTGCCAGTCCACATGGATCGGCTTCCAACAATGGCAGCCCCACACTGCACCAACACGTGGCACACTGGCTCAGAACACGACGCATAGGAGTACTGACTCGGGCCATGGTGCTGCTGCAAAGTACTATGACGTTGCTTTGAAACACTCCTACAACTAAGGCATGACACTGGCCCCAGAATGAAATGTGTTGAAGTGTTGCAGCCCTGGATCGGAACAAAGTGCAGCAGTGCAGTGCAGCATTGCTGTATACATTGTAATATGCTGAAGCACTGCGCACCTCGTCATTTTGTTGCTGTCCATCCACTCGCATGGCCACCTCGGGCGTGTCCAACGTTCCTTGAGGCCTCAATGCTTGGGGCTGTAGTGGGGGCGTGCAAGACCTGGTGGCCCCCATATCCGCATCTTTGGCATCCCAAACTTGGAGGCCCCTGTGCCACAGATCCCTTAACATACAGAAATAGTTGTAATCCTATACACTGCTAGTATTGGTACCAACAATACATTGCTCACTGCAATGGGTGCTTGCAGTGTGTTACAATATTTCGAACATCTGAACAGAGTAGCAAAAAACACTTCCTCTGTCCAGAGTATAAATGAATGCACTTGACTGAGAGGCCGCATTGATGGACAAGTTTATTGATATTCTCTGTGAACAGCAAACCGTTGCACCACCTATGAGCTTTGACTGATCTCAAACTTTGATGAGAAAACAGATTGCTGCAGCAATTTGGCAGCGCATCAAAAAAGCCCAGCTCCAGACAATAATTTGACCCATGGGGGGGGGGGTCGGCGCCATCATGTCCAGCACCATGCATGCAAGTCTAAGATCCATCCTGCCTAATAGATGCTCAAGGTATCCTGAGACTTGCCGCACACTGCTGTTTGTGGTGCAGACTCTCTGCTTCATTGGGTGTCTCAAGCAAATGGCAAGCCCAAAGCTCAAACACACGTCTCAAAAGGCTCTTGACTATCTGCCAATTTCCATTGTGGAATGTTTCGACTTGCAGTTGAAGGTCCCTAGTGTCTGTGCAATGAGCCTTTCAGCATTTGGCGCACGTAGCATCTGAAATTTCCCAGCGGTGGCTCTCAATGTGTCATGAACAGCCCTGGCAACCCTTGCAGAGGGAGTGCCTGCGACAGCCGTTTCTGGGGATCTTCCTGCGTCCATGCAGAAGGACGTGCAAACTTTCCTTCTGAACAGCTCAACGTTGCTTTCCCAGGATCAAGCACCCTGTCCCCCATTGTGGTGGCTGCGAGTTTTGAAAGAACCATTATTGTGAACTTGGCCGAGTACACGATTCCCATGCAAGTATGATAAATAAATGATAAATGTACATAGTAGGAATATGCACAGTAGGAATCCATGTATAAATATACATAGTAGGGATCCAATGCAAGTGAGCAGCTTGTTGGATGGTCAAGACCATGGTGGGGATCGACCATTGGGTGAGTTGAAACTTGGCTTCACAGACTCGCAGTGTCTCAGGGACAGCTTCGACTTGCAGCTACAGCAATGGCCACAGGTACCCAGTCCATGCTGCGCAATGTCATGCGCAAGGCACCCTCTCAGGGGGTCGTTTTACTGGGTCCCCACCCACCCACCAACACACACACACACCTTCACCGTGAGAACTTCCAGCTTTTCAGCCCAGGTTAGGCAGGTTCAAAATATGCCATGTGTGCAGTAATTTATCCATTCAATGTGAAATTTGAGGACCTTTGATAAACTTATGGACTGGACTACGACCTGATTTCTAGTTCATGCAGCAAAATTGTCCTTCTAAATAAACGTGTTCATTAGTTCATTTTGTTCATTCATTTGGTTCTGAACAGAGGAGACATGTATACTCAGTTACTAATTTAATTCAAATTAATCAGTCAATCAAACAAAATTTATTATTGTTGCTTCAATCATTTGAACGAATTAGCACTGTTCATGAGCACTTTCGACGGGCCATTTTCGGCACGACTCACCCTTCACCCACGGACTGCCATTTCGGCTCTGGGCCTCTGGAAGCTTCTGTGGCTTCCCACTTGTGCATGGAAGCCCTTGAGGCCCTTGAGGCAGCCTCTGCTGCTTCCAGCTCGCCCCTTAGCCTGGCGACCTCCAGCTTGGCCCTTGAGGCTTCACCCTTACAACACAACAGCAAGCCCGCAAGTTGTCGACACAATTAACTTCTCAGAACACGATTTGAGCCTCCATTTGAATGCATGTTCATGCCAGCCAGTCAACATTTTCAGCGCAATGAGCATTCTGGAAGATTGAGTGTCAGGTTGATTGAAGCCAGTAAGGTGGTGCAAAAGGCAAGTTGCCCATTGGACTGCCCAAAGTTTAAACAGAGGGCAAGTCTATCAGACAATCTGGAGCTAGATTCTTGCTTAAGATTCGAATTTAATTGGGCATAATCTCTATGTTAATGTGGGACCCAGACATTGGTACCAAAATTCCATCTTAGGACCCAGTTACATAGACCTGGACTCCAGAGGACATTGGCTCTTGAGGACAGATAATCAAGCGGGGATGGTGGGTGCACCATCCGCTTTCAAGTCAATGGACGCCACCATGTCGAAATTGCAACACCACAGACAGCAACAAACCTATCGCCGACAGATGCTGTTCAGGTTGCCGAGAGGCACACTCTGCATGAAACAGACCTGTGCTGAGGCATTGAGCTGACTCTTTAAGTGCTGAGTTTCGAGCTGAGTCAACACTCTTTGAATTAGGCAGAGACCCTGGGACATTCCCGCTCAGAAGGTGGTGACCATTTCATTCCTTTCCTCCTACGCCATTTCTGCTGCCCCTTGACCAAACAGCCTCCTTGCTGCCAAGGCCTTGCATCTGCAGGCACATGCAGCGCAGACATGCATGTCCTGAAATGCATTTATTGCCAACTTCCCCTCCCACCAAACTCATGCCAGTCCAACGTGCTGGGAGCCATTTTGATGGGTGAAATGATACGTGTTCCTCTGTGTTTGCAGATTTCTCTGGTTCATTTGGTGCCTGCCACCCTGTGCCCTTTCTGCACTGTTTCTGTGAGGGGGCTGGGGTTGTCCTTGTCTGCCAAGCACTTCGAGGTCCATTCCGCAAGAAAACTATGCTGCCTGGTGGTCTGAGTTCAGAAGTAACCAGTGCTTCGTTCTTCACTTTGTGGAATGTACGCAATTCACCCACACGCGTAGGAAATTCACCATACCCTACATCTTTTGGCACCAAACACCCACTTCCCCTAATTGTTTGTTTGCGTTTCAGACTCAAGGGGAGCAGAGAAATGAACAAATGCATGAACAGGGGCAACAGACCATTTTCTGACATGTACATGCCTGTTGTTGCCGTTAGGCACACGGACTGCACTATGTCTGCTCTTTCGGTCCACACTCACCTCAACCCCAGCCAAAAGCCCGACAGAGGACAGCACCCAAGAAGGGACACCTCTCTTCACAACATGCTCCGATCCCCACTAAAAATAACCCCCTCCTCCAGCCACACACGTGACATAACATGCAGATGCCAGATTCACTGCCAACAACCAAGCAGTCTAACCACAAAAAGCAGCAACAAAACCCCACCCACCCACCCACCCACCAACGCCAGTCCCCACCAGGACCCCCAGGGCTTGCTGAGTGCAAGCTTTCTTGCCTTTCTGCGTTGCTTTTCCTGAGCAAGTGTGCTCATCAGTTTGCACCTGAGACTCTACATCATCTCTTCATGGCTTTGAAAATAGTCCCAAACACACTTGATCAGGAGGGGCCCCTTTTGCACAACCAGTTTCTCGCCCTCTTTTCGGCAAACCTCACCTTGACTCCCAGCCGCCAAAGCAACCAACTAAAGAACCAACAAACTGAAAGACAGCCGACCTGCTAAACAGAGGCAACAAAAAACAACAGCAACAAAGGCCACAAAAACAACAGCAACAAAGGCCACAAAAAAGAACAAACAACACAACAGACAACGAAAGAGCAACAACAAGCTCCCAAGCTCCCGCACCAGCACCCACCATGACTCCCAGCAGCTTCTCCTCCAGGTACGCCTTGTGGTGGCTCAGCTCAGCGACCTCCGCCCTCAGGTCCCCCACCTCCCCCCTCAAGCCCTCCATTTCCTCTTCAATCACGCCCCCACCGCCATCCTCCCTCCCTACACAAACATCGCCCCCCCGGCGGTGTTCCGGGAACTTCCCGGGCCCGGATCCCGGCATCCCGGGATCCGGGAACCGACCCCGGGCCCCTCCGCCGCGCCAGGCCTCCGCCGGGGTCGGGCTGGGGGCCTGCATGCGCGCATGCGCCGGTTGCGTTGACCGGATCAAGCGGTCACCGCGTTGGCCAGAGTTGACGGCGTTGACCACAGGGTTGGCTCGGAGCTCGGGCGCCGGAAGGGCGCCAAAACGAACAAAAAAGCGCCTATGACCGGTGGAGGCCAAAAAAGGGGCTCCAAGAGGGCCAGTCGACCACGCTGGCTGCAACGACACTTTCGGCGCGGAAGCAGCGAGTGGGCTTTGGAGTGTCGGAGGGCCACGGGGACTACAAAAGGAGGAGTCTTTTGGTCGTGACCTGACCTTGTACTTTTGACCTGATCCCAGTTTGTCATCACCTCCCCGACCCTCCCAACGCCCAGGCACGCCTTCTTGGACGGGCGCTGGATGGATGAGCCAAGGCATCCCGACCGCTTTCTGTGCAAAGGTGAGAGACCTGCGACCGGCGTGGGGTTGATGTCTGTGATTGCGCCGCGGCGGACCTGCAGAGCGGTTGGAGCGGACGCCTGACAGGCGGGGCGGTGCTGAGCGCACCAGCTGTGGCAATGTACTGGGGGCGGGGTGCACGATGGCGAGGGGCCCGCTGCAGCAGGGAGGGAGGCCGTCTGAACTCCGATCGTTGAGAATCCGTTGAGATTTTCGCGACAGTTCTTGGACGGGGGAGTATGGAGATTCGTGTTGTTTCCATTTTGCGGACCCCGGGGAAGGGCGGTGGGGAGACAGGGGAGTGCGTTGTGTTGATCGCGGCGGGCGCTGCGCTGCGAGGCCGGTTCATCAACAGCGGCAGCTTTCGTTCAGGCGCGGTCGGCGGCTGGGTCGTTGGACGTGAATCGTTGGCTTCTGCGCGCCCCAGGCGGACGCGCGTGTTTCGAAAGGCGTCAGGGGCACCTGGAGTCACAAACGGGCCAGGAAGCCCCTGCATGCCAGAACGCGCGTCCAGGCGCGGCGAAAGCCGCCGAGGTCGGTTGCAAACGAGGCGGCGGCATCCTCCAAGCGCGCGACGGCTTGCCCGTGCAGTTTGGTTGGACCCCGGGGCCCTCACGACGAGCGCGAACATGGGCTTTTGCCATTTTTTTTGGGTTCTGTTGCACTGACGAAGGCAGGCAGGGTCGAGGGGTGGCGATCCCTGAACGGGAATTGTACGCTCGAGTCCACGGCAACGGTTTACAGCCGAGGCAAAAGGACAACAGACGTTCTGTCCTTTATATCCAGGCTGTTCATCAACATCTTTAATGCAATTCCTAGTGCTTCAGCATCTTTTCATGCATTCAGTTATTAATAACACTTAATCAGTTCTAGCTGTAACAGCACCTTCCTCATGATGGCAGCATGATGAAGAAGATGTTCGAAGATTGGCGCGGGAAATCGGGTGGAGATGGAACTGGTCACATCAGGATGTAATGATGTCCATTTAAAGCATTTGCAGCGGTTGTACTCCAAGTGCTTGACCTACAAAGCCAGCAGCGTGTTTTTCACAGTACTCCCGTGCACTGGCTGCGTTCGTGATCTATTAAAAAGTAGCAGAACATTTTCCACCATACTGGCAATAGTAGTTTTTGGTGGTTAATGTAAAACTCGGCAAAAGATTGCTGCCCTCGGAACACACGAGATGCTAACCCAAGGAGGTTTTCATTCACATACTCAATATGCCAATATTAGTTAGCCACTCACATCAGGGCATGCCAGCCCTTGACCAACTTTCCTCTCATACAAAACGCCATAAAAATTTAGCTCTACTGCAATTTAAACATATGCATGCAAACTGCCCAAATTCCACACCGTAAATCTGTCGGTGCAAGTAGCTCAGACCGGGATGGACCAGTTCGACACTCACACACTCCAGCCCTGCAATCAGAAACCTTCCAAGGACTTTCCCACCATAGAAATATGCAACATTCTTTCATGCAAGCACCTACCACACAATTTCTATACACACTTAACTAAACGCAGCCCAAATTACATACATATACTATAGGTTACAACTTGCATGCAACAATTTGCATTCTGCATTCGGAAATACACTTGGCAGGTACCGACCCTGCCCTTTGTCATGTGTAATTACACACAACCTCACTTACCTTCTACTCCCAACCAGACAGAACTGATCTTCGGTGAATCCCCAACAACCAGAGTGTGAGCCCCCCGTCTGGCACACACAATTCATGCACACAGAGCAGCTTTGCAGGTCACCAGTATCCACAGACCGAGATATAAACTCACAAGTTGGTAGCAAAGAGGCAAAAAAGTCCCCGTTGACCGGTGCTGGTTACAGGGCTTTGTTCGACAAAGGGTAGCATCCCAAACTCACAACAACCTCTTTATACCCATGTTGGTGTCTCTCCACTTCTCTCTCTTCCCGGTCTGTCACTCTATTCCCCGGGCGAATTACACTATGAGCTCGGCACTCCTTACACTGGTCATTACCTACCCTAACTACCCTGCTACACAACACAACTAACTGGGTCCCTCTAATCCCTCACACCATGGTCCGTGCCTGCTTCCGCTCCGTGCCAGCCTTGCGGATTCCCCACTCTACCCCCGCTTGGCCTTCATCCGCTCGGTCTGCGCTCGACGGTCACCCTACCGGATCACACAATGTGTCACAGCGTAACCAGAGTGTGGTCCGTGGCCTGGTGAGCCGTTCATGTAACACCAAAGTTCCGCAGCTTGGACGGGTGTTGTGGGGTGTTGCCACACAGGAATTGTGCATTCTGCTTCATTTTCCTAGCTTCAAGTGTGTACTATTACTAAACTATTAGCTTTGAGTGTAAAAATGTGCTTTTAGCATGTCTCCCAAGTTGAACAATGGGATGCACATGCTTTTCCTTCACATTTCACATTATATTTTGTTTTTCTCCTTTTTAGCTGCAAAACGTCTTTCTTTCTGTTTAGCATATGCAACCAATTTTCGGTCATCATTTCTGCAACTATAGTTTTTAATGTATGCCATTTTGTTGTGAACCAAACAATCCCTAAAATGTATGAGGCACGGCAACGGCAACCATGCCATTGGTGTTATGTAAACTACTAGGGGGTAGCCGGTTTACTCCAATTATTCACTGGGAAGTGATAATTGACACAAGATTGTACCTAGATGGGACAGAGGAGGCTGTTAGCTTTCCATAGGTCTTTGGATCATCCCAAACGGGTTAGCGGTAGTGGAGTTATAGCTTATAGAAGTTCCAGTACTTGCGGTTGGGCCCCTACCGTACTCGGGGATGAGATACTATCGATACGGGTACATTCGATACGTTGTTCTGTCGATTGTGTACCGCTGCATGCGGGGGTCATGTGACCGACCCCGCATGTCAGCCTGTTATTCCATTGTGCCCACTCTCGCCTCCCAGCGGCTGCACCCGCAGGCCGCAAGGTGCCGCGCGCACCCACTGCGCGTACGGCCGCCCCGCGCCCGGCCATTCTGCAGGCCTGGGCCCACACTGCGCATCCGAAGAAGACGAGCGCCCCGCAAAGCCCGCCGGCCATCCGGCGGAGGGGGCCCCACGGCCCCATCGGGCGCCTCGGCGGGAGCATCGCCCGCGAACACACCGAAAACCACGCCAGGTGGTTTCGGAGCAGGCGGACGCGGACGGCGGAAGCGCACCACGCGGCGCGAGAGCAAGAGGGGGGAGCCCCACCCGCGAGGGGCCCCCCAAATCGATTGGATCTTGGGGACATCGGCCGGCCAGGCGACGGCACCCGTGAGGGGTGCGGCCTGAATCGGCCCGGATCGGAGACCAGACCGCGCGCCCGGCCCCGTGGGGGAAGGCGCATGTTGTTGCATAGAGAAAGGAACCGGCGGGGTGGGGAGAATCTCCCCGCGGATTCCGCCGCGGGCGGGTCGATTGGAGCAGTGCATCGCCGAGGAATCGCGCGCCGTGACCGGCGGTGTGAAGGCGCGGATCGGGAGCGCCAGGGCCAGGCGCGGGCCGGTGCAATCGGCCGCGTGGGCCGTCGGGTCGGGCGGCGAGGAGCGCCAGGACCCCGGAGGGGGGTGAGGCGCGGCGGCGGAGCGGACTGACCGCCCGTCCCGCGACCCCAGCTGCGCAGTGGCTGACTGGACTGCGTGTCGGGCGTGATGTGACATCGGAAGCGGTGGGAAGCGACCCCGGAGTGACGTGAGGGGGTTTGTTGTGTGTCGGACGAGTCAGGTCGCTGGGTGGGTGCCGAATAGCGCCCATGGCCAGTACGGGCGCCTGGGGGGGTGCCGAATAGCGACCCCTGGGGGGTGCTGGCTGCCGGGGGTGTGGAATAGCGACCCCTGGAGGGGGCCTGGCGGCAGGGGGTGTGCAATAGCGACCTCTGCACAGTACAGTTAAGTACTGGTACCCAAGTGGAGCTGGAAAGGCGACTTCTAAGAGCCTCTAAGGAAGTTTCTGACTATTCGAAGATGTGGCCTGACTACCTAGCATCTGCATTGGAGCAGCTGAGGAGGTATCCTTGACCTCCTTAGTGGGTGGAGAGCAGTGCCATAGGAGCAGCTTCCTTGGAGTAGCTGAGAGGGTCCCTTAACCTTCTCAGTGGGTGGACAGCAGCAGACAGCAGCTTCTCTGGAGCAGCTGAGGGGTCCATAAACCCCCTTAGCTGGTGGATAGCAGCTTCTCGGCGACTGGAGCTGACAACCCCTACATTCGCCCAACGACTCTGTGTGGAGTACGACAGCTCCCCAAGAGGCTCAGTAGGGTGCCTAAACACCAGAGCCTGATCTACAGAGGCTAGTAGGGTGCCAGTGCACCAGGCCCAGGGCCCTCCGAGTGGGCCAGTGTTAGATTGGGGGCCGTCCCACTCCACTAGGGCATTTGGCCAGGAGGTCGGGGGGCGAAGGGCTGAAAGTCACGGACTGTACCTGA